CCACTCGTGCATTTATCTAGCCTATTTTTACTTTCCTCTTAAAATGTGAGTGTTGATATGACATGACATCAGTGAATCCCTGGTGTTTGCACGCTATTTGCTCTAGCTGGCGCTCAATTGAACTGGTGCTCCCACAAAGTACTAAGTGGTCCGCGATATTTTCATTCTGTGCACACTGAGTGCACAGACCCATTCTTTCATGTCTAGGCAACTCAGGCCTATCACACCAAATTTGAAGGAATGAAAAAATAAAACGTTGATCTACGTTCGGAGCCCCCCGCACGTGAACGTAGATCTACATGTGGTCAGTTTAAAGGTTAATTAAAGGTTAAGAATATGCTGGAATTTTGTAACACAGTCTCAGATATAAACCAAGAGACAGGGTTGGGTTGACTGCATCTTCTTGCATCTTCAAGTGATGTGTCTGACGTCATTAGGTCAAGGCATTAGCTTAAGCTGGTGGGAGAATTGAAGCTACCACGCATAGGCCAGTAGGCCAGTGTTCTTTCTTTCTTATGTTCTTACGAGGGCAAATATTCTATTAGTGGGATGGATTTGTAAAGGACCTGTCTAGTATGGGCCAGCAGGCCTGTTGCAGTGTTCCTCCTTTCTTATTTTATATTCTTGGACTGCAAGAATGCATTTGATACAGTACCACACCAGTGTAGTAAAGAAATTAGATGAATGGTCAGGGTTAACCCTTTGAGTGTTTTGGTCGTATATATACGTCTTACCAGCCACCGTGTTTGATGTATTAATACACAAATTCTAGGGGCTTCAAATTAAGCAGGAAAAAGCTGGTAGGTCCACATGTCAGTGGTGCATTGTGGGAATGCCATTTCAGTAGTCCTTGTCCAGCATGCCTAGCGGTAAGAAATATGTGACTCCCCGCAAATCCGGTACTCTACTCTTCCCAAGTGATGCTCTAACACAGATGGAAGTGTCAGTGAAGATTAATTTCATGGTTTTGAGGAGTTTGTGACCAAAAGCAATGCCCAGGATACCAGAAGAATGAAGGAGACTGAAGAATGAAAGAGAATGAAAGAGAATGAGAGAGAATGAGATAGAGAATGAGAGAATGAGGGAGAGAATGTGGGAGAAAATGAGAGAATGAGGGAGAGAATGAGGGAGAGAATGAGGGAGAGAATGAGGGAGAGAATGAGAGAGAGAATGAGAGAGAGAATGAGAGAGAAAGATAATTAGATAGTAGGATGGAGGGGAAGCGAGCATCCAACCCCATTGTTTTGACAGGCGGTAGGGGGAGTGAGTAATGAGACAATATGTCATTTTGACAGCTGTTGACCCTGACTCAGAACAATTAGAAGTCCACACACACACACAACACAAGCATGAAGATAATAGCAGTTATATGAAAGTATCCAATGACTATATATGTGTATATATATTATAGAAATCAGAAGGAAGGAAGGAAGGATGAGATGAAAGGAAGGAAAAAAGTAAGAAAGGAAGGAAAGGAGAAGAAGGAGGGAAGGAATGTAGGAGGGAAGGAAGGTAGGAAAGGAATGCAGGAAGGTAGGGAGGAAGGAATGATGACACATGACCATTTACCTAGGATAACTACCTAACACAACTGCCTGCTAATACTTTGAAGAAAACTGCTCAGATGAGGTGTTTTGTCTTTGCACATAAAAAAAAAAAATGCCCACAAAAATGCAGACACACTCATTTTGTGTGTGAGGAATATAAAACACCATTGTGTATGAAACCATGTTTCAAAGAGTTCCACAAGCTGCAGAACTAGGAACATGTCCAGTGACTACATTTGTATAGCAATAAACGATTTTTTTGTATTGTTTGTTTGTGTAAACAAGTTTTGTAAACAATATATTGATAATTATGTTTGTGTGCTTATTGTGTTGTATACAATGAGTGTATATATGTACACTGCACCTTACTTTGGACTCACAGGCCACGTAAGTAACCTGAAAAAAAATAGTGAAAAAAACAAGAAACCTTGGAATGCAAGTAAACCAAAGTTTACCGGGTGAGCAGCATTCACTGCTGTTGCCATACACAGCTCATTTTCTGCCAACTTTACGCCTCTATATCTCGGTAAGTACTGATCGCAAAATAAGTTTTCTTGTGCTTAAAACAATCAGAAAATTAATCTTAACATTTTCATAACAAAAAAATTTTTTTTTTTTTAAATTCTTCGACACCAGGAGACACTTCAGGATTTGGGGTTGCAACAGTCAAAGGGCTAAAAGGAAGTGTTCCTGTGGTTCAAGGAGTATCTAAATGACAGAAGGCATCAAAATAGGACATCAAAATAGGACAGAGTAATGAGGGCTACTACTGTTCCTAATATACATGAATGACCCATTTAACCCTTTGACTGTTGCAACCCCAAATCCTGAGGTGTCTCCTGGTGTCACAAAATATTTGATGTCTCTCCAAGAGAGAACCCACAGTAATGGATTTAAATTAGATAAGTTTAGATTTAGAAAGGACATAGGAAAGTATTCGTTTGGAAATAGGGTAGTTGATGAGTGGAACAGTCTACCTAGTTGGGTTATTGAGGCTGGGACTTTGGGTAGTTTCAAATCTAGGTTGGATAAGTACATGAGTGGGAGGGGTTGGATTTGAGTGGGACTTTCACATCAGAGCTTATTTCTTGGGTGGCATTGAAAATTGGGTTGGGCAAATGTTTTGTTAGTGGGATGAATTGTAAAGGACCTGCCTAGTATGGGCCAGCAGGCCTCCTGCAGTGTTCCTCCTTTCTTATGTTATGTTCTTACTGATTTCAACTACCCAATAAAATGGTCAGAAATTGGCAATTTGGCCAATTTCATGCAAATTAAAAAAATGCCAATTTCAAAATAGGGTCCAGAATGAACAATGCAGACATTCCTGGCTCTAAAATAACATTTTCTTTGTTCATCAGTCATGTCTCCAGGCCCCTCTGATATTACTCTTGCTTTCTATTTTTAATTTTTATTCAAACAAAAAATAGAAGATTTACTGTTATGCAGACTACTGCAATATTGTAATAATTGCATAAATAATGTCAACCCATTCATAACTGCATATCAGAATGGCTAGTTGGACATTTATTGGACAATGATGTCATTTGTTTACTCTTGAACATCGGCAAAAATCAAACATTTCCCCTACTTTGAGCTCCATTTCAAGGTCCTTTTCATAGTAAAATCAATCAAAATCACCTCCATTTCTATAATATGTTTTCACTTCTATCAAATGTGACTATGAAAACAAGAATATAACCATAAAAACCATACGAAAATATACCTCAAATTCGGTGTTTTAATCCAAAAACACAGTCGGAGTTTTTTTTCTCATTATGCACTGCTTGCTGCAGGATTTTTTTTATACTGCACACACTAACCACACAGGCCCATTCTCTCATATGTGGGCCTACCAGCTTTCTCCCGTTTGATTTGAAGCCGCTAGAATTTTTGAGTATATATACGTCAAACACATTGGCTCGCAAGGCGTATATATACGACCGAAACAAAGGGTTAAGGGGACCAAGTCCTAATGAGAAGAATAAGAATGGGAGGATAGTGATAAACTCCAGGGAGATTACAACAGACACTGCAGATGTGGTTAAGAACTGGCTTCTCTGAGTTCTACCTAAACAAATGCAAGGTCATGTAAACTAGAAAAAGTGAAGGCAAACTGGACACGGTGTACACTATAGGCAAAGGGAAGCTGCAAATATCAGAGCAAAAAGGATCTAGGATAAAAATAACACCTAGAATATCATCAGAATTACACAAATTGAACATCAGCAGGAATATGTAAGATTAGCAAACTTCAGAGCATCATTCAGGAACCTGAATAAAGAATCTTCATAACCTTTATATACAATATTTGTTAGCCAAGTCAATGCTAATGAGGCTCCAATATAGCCCACACCTTGTCAAACATGCTAAGTTCAAAAAGGTCTAAAGATTTGCAACCAGACTAATATCAAAACTGAAAGGAATACATTATGAGGAGAGGCTGAAGGAATGCAGCTTGACAACCTTGGCAGAGGAGATGGTGGGAGACATGATTACAACATACAAAATCTTAAAAGGAATTGATAGTGACAGATGGTATGAATTAAGAGAATTAGGATAAAGAAAACACAGGTGGAAACTTATGACAGATGAGCCATATTGATTTAAGGCAGAGGCAGTATTTCTTTAAACTCAAGGTGGTTGAAAAGTGGAATGACTTTGATGAGGCAGTGGTGGAGGCAAATGCACTAGAGGTGCTCCTTGACTGAGGATGGGGTTATATTCTGACAAACCCATTGTAAGTCAAATATGAATATATGCTAAATAAATAAGTAAATAGATAACTACTGTTACTGAATAAGTAAATAAAAAATAATTACTGTAGCTAACCAAATATTTTTTTACTATTAACACATCGGCCATTTCCCACCAAGGCAGGGTGGCCCGAAAAAGAAAAACTTTCATCATTCACTCCATCACTGTCTTGCCAGAGGTGCGCTCAGACTAGTTATAAAACTGCAACACTAATACCTCTCCTTCAGAGTGCAGGCACTGTACTTCCCATCTCAAGGACTCGAGTCCGGCCTGCTGGTTTCCCTGAATCCCTTCATAAATGTTACCTTGCTCACACTCCACACTAACCAAATACCAGCATTGAAAAGTAAATAAATGAATACAAGTTACAGACTTGTTGCCTTCATGCTGGGTAATTATCTCAAGTTTCATCTCCAAAGTAATATCTTTTGCACCATTGTAAAGTTGAAATGTTGAATCACTGCCAGTCGAGGAGCACCTATACACAGCTTCAATACATACATTAAGGTCCAAGATGTTAGAAATCAGTATTACTGATCAAAGTAGTCCAGAAGGCACAGTCAGGGGTTGATTGTCAACCCCAGTAAATACAACTCAAGTACACGTGCATGCTTTTTTTGCGAGTACACATGTATTACACATGTGTGCTCATCAAAGAAACTCCTTACAATGATACAACTCCTCAAAGCTACTGGGTACCTTTTATTTCCTTGCAGTCTCATAGTTCTCTATAAACCAATCCACTGTCTCCTTAATACCCTGTCTGACTGGTGTAAACTGAAAGTCAGGTAAATACTTCTTCAATTTTCCATTATGGGCAGTCTTCTTGAACTGTCCATCAGCCTTTGAGGTGTCATACACCACTCCTCCTTTGAAGTCAAAAGCTTCAACAACCATGTCAGCGACATCTTTGATGGATACTTCATCGGCTTCACCAACTGTTGTAAAAGGTAGGAAATGATGAATATTAAATATAGCCTTCAAAGATGACAAATACAGTGGACCCTCGACTAACGATCAGCTCCCAACTCGACCAGTTATGTAAGTGTATTTTTGTAAGTGCTTTTGTACGTGAATTTTTGAGGGTCTGAAACGGACTAATCTATTTCACAATATTCCTTATGGGAACAAATTCGGTCGGTAAAGGCACCCGAACAGACGTCTGAAATGAAATAATATCGTTAGTCGAGGGTCCACTGTATTTACTTAAATTTTTGGAAAGGCTGCCCAGTTTCTGCTGTAAGATAGTCTTGCATTAAAATAAAACAATTTATACAGAACAAATTTATAGCCTACAAATTATTCATAATTTTACATTATTCACAACTAAAAAAATTATCAATTATTTAGTAATTCATACATAAATTTTCTACTTGGGCAAACCACTCTAAATTTCTCACCTATTGCCAAAACCAAACAGACATTATTTTAAGTGCTAATCTTAAAAAAAAAAAAAAAAATCCTGCATCTATCTATCTCTCTCTCTCTATATCTCTCTCTCTATATCTCTCTCTCTCTCTCTCTCTCTCCTCTCTCTCTCTCTCTCCTTCTCTCTCTCTCTCTCTCTCTCTCTCTCTCTGCCTACTTTCCTTTCTCCATCCCTTTCTTTCTCAACTGCCATCTGCACAATGCTACTATGATGTAATGAAATACAAGACTCAGCATGTGAAATACAACACTGTACTTACCATAACAAAAACTGATTATAATTCAGGTGAATAGGAAATCTATTTATATTATTAATATAATCAAAACTAAGCACTAAACCACCAGGGTCATACAGCTACAGTAACCCATTCATAAATAAAGATGTACAGAAAAACCAAAGACAACTTCATATCAACAAGCCAATGATGTAGACAGTTCTCTGAACTTTTGTTATTAAGTTACTGTTAATTTATCAGGTACAGGCTTGAAGTGTATGCATTATCTCACAGTTTCAAGAAGAGAGATTCTAAAGGAGAAATTTCAAAAATCTAAATTTATGAAACCTGGTCTAGCTATGTAAAACGTGAATAAACTAATCTAGCTGAATCAAGATTTTTGTAGAAAAAATTTGTTCTACTGGAAACAAAGTGGAATGTTTCTTTCTTTTTGGGTTTTTCTTTCTTTTGGGTCATCCTGCCTCAGTTGGAAACGGCTGACGTGTAAAAAAAAAAAAATTAACCGTTATGCAATATTGTAATAATTGTATAAATAATATCAGCGCATTCGTGAATGTATATTAGACCCACCAGTTGACGTGTATTGGATGCATGATATACAGTAGGGCCCCGCTTTACGGCGTTTCGCTTTACGGCATTCCGCTAATACGGTCATTTCAAATTATGACCAAAACTCGCTATACGGCTCCCCCGACCTGAATTTCTAATACGGTCACCGCACCCCACTCGGTTTATTTACATTCTCTGTGAGATCCAAGCACTAAGTCTCTCCATTATGTCTTGAAACGACAAAATTTCAAGTGTTTTTAAAAGTTATTTTATATATATATATATATATATATATATATATATATATATATATTATATATATATTATATATATATATATATATATATATATAATATTATATATATATATATATATTATATATATATTACAGTGGACCCCCGCATAGCGGACGCCTTGCATAGCGGACAATCCGCATAGCGGACAATCCGCATAGCGGACGCTTTGTTCGCTAAATTTTGCCCCGTAGTGGACAAAAACCCTG